AAATTATAACTTTATACTACAATCAATTTTCCCTTTACATGAATAAACACAGTCAAGATTACAAGACATAGAGGAAACTACACGAATTTTTTTCCTTAGTTAAAAACTTCATCAACTGAAAAAACTTAATCAACTAAAATCATCTTAATCAACTTTGAAATTCAAAATTCGTCCAAAATAAACATCATCTGCAGTAAATGTCATACGTGGACACTTGGAGAATTTTTTTCTCATTTTTTAGCACAGCAAGAGTCATTTGTTTTTTTCTTCCTTATGCAAGAGGAGACTCAAAGCGATTTCGAGATTTTTATTAAAAGAACAGGATTTTTTATCGTTAAGCGTAAAAGTAGATGGCTGTAGAAAATTATAACTTTATACTACAATCAATTTTCCCTTTACATGAAAAAACACAGTCAAGATTACAAGACATAGAGGAAACTACACGAATTTTTTTCCTTAGTTAAAAACTTAATCAACTGAAAAAACTTAATCAACTAAAAAAACTTATTCAACTAGAAAAGCTTAATCAACTAAAAAAAACTTAATCAACTGGAAAAACTTAATCAACTAAAAAAACTTAATCAACTAGAAAAACTGAATCAATAAGTAAAACTTAATCAACTAAAAAAACTTAATCAACTAGAAAAACTTAATTAACTAGAAAAACTTAATCAACTTACTTCCTTATGCAAGAGGAGACTCAAAGCGATTACGAGATTTTTATTAAAAGAAAAGGATTTTTTATCGTTAAGATTTTCTAGTTGATTAAAGTTTTTTAGTTGATTAAGTTTTTCTAGTTGATTAAGTTTTTCTAGTTGATTGAGTTTTTGTTAGTTGATTAAGTTTTTAAATAAGGAAAAAAATTCGTGTAGTTTCCTCTATGTCTTGTAATCCTGACTGTGTTTTTTCATGTAAAGGGAAAATTGATTGTAGTATAAAGTTACAATTTTGTACAGCCATCTACTTTTACGCTTAACGATAAAAAAACCTGATCTTTTAATAAAAATCTCGAAATCGCTTTGAGTCTCCTCTTGCATAAGGAAGAAAAAAACAAATGACTCTTGCTGTGCGAAAAATGAGAAAAAAATTCTCCAAGTATCCACGTATGACATTTACTGCAGATTTTGTTTATTTTGGACGAATTTTAAATTTCTAAAAACTGTTTTATGAGCTTTTCTATTCACATGTTTTTATTTTTCAAAATCACCTCGCCTCTCTTTCATGTGGAAATATTTTCGAAGGATTCTTGCAATGTGTATATATAGAGTCCCTGGCCAAATTATAAGACGCACTATAAGATTTTATGTATATTTTTAATTATCAGGTGATACTATACAGCTTTATTGTTTTTGCGTGATTTGCATTTGTTTAAGATCGTGTATCAATCGGTTAACATTGTAATGTAATACGTTAAAAATGAATACAAATCGGAAGCATATATAAAATCTCCTGAATCACCACGCCTCATTCTCTGATATTGCCCATTACATGTATGTTTTAATATACAAGTATTGCCTATATGCTAGTGCAAAATATGCAATTATTAAAACACTACAGTTCTTCTAATAATTTGGTCTAATTATTATATTATACTAATATAAAACATGCTGTAAGAAATATCTTCTATATTTATGTAACATATACTGTCGAATTTATATCATGTATAGTCTAATTTAACCGATGGATACACGACCGGAAACAAGTGCAAACCAGTCTCATTTACGTAAAACAATAAAGCTGTATATATATATATATATATATATATAAAGAACAAATCCAAAACGGTGCAAACTTTTTTTTGTTGTAATATATTTTTCTATATTTTATAAAGAAATATACTTCGAAATTTGAAATAAAATACTATGAAAATTACATGAATAAATTTTATACAATAATAAATATTTAAATAAGTTCGTGAAATAAAATACATAAAATTAAAAAAAAAATGCAATATTGCTTCATATGTGTGNATTTTTCTATATTTTATAAAGAAATATACTTCGAAATTTGAAATAAAATACTATGAAAATTACATGAATAAATTTTATACAATAATAAATATTTAAATAAGTTCGTGAAATAAATTACATAAAATTAAAAAAAAATGCAATATTGCTTCATACGTGTGTTATTTATTCACTCAAAAATATCTAATATCAATATGTTCATAAAATTTTGCACCCCAAAAAGAAATAGAAAGAGTAAAAATTAAAAAATAACATTAATACTGAATAAACATTTCAAATCACAAGTTGTACACATTGCAGTACTAGTAGTAAAAGCACAAGAGACTACTAAATACTTACGGAGAATACTGATTGGAAAATAAAATATTGCTTCATTTCAAGACGAATTTTAAGGCGAAACAAAAAGGCATATTTTGTTTTAAAACAGTCTTGTTAATGCATTAAAAGGCTATTTATGATAGGTTATTAGCTTATTTTATTCATTTTAACTCAGATGAAAATGAAGCAAGTATTTTCTCAATAAAAGACTGCATGGGACTCTAACCCATGATCCGTCTACCACAAAGGATAATTTACGCCGGGACTGTGGTCGGTGCCAGTCGTGTGCAGAATTCGAATCAACCAGTCATATCGCTGGGATTCAAGTCCAGTTTCCCCCATTGGACGGCGAACGCTCTATCCTCTCAGCCTCCATGACTCTAAAGGGGGTAATCATAAAAATTAGCAGTATTACAATTTCAAAACAAATATCAATAAAGCTAATTTTTCAATAATCTGTGTTTACAATTAACAGCCAATAGAGTAGTGAAAGAGTAGAAGAGGAGAAAAAAGTGCAACTCAACAGGCATTATTGAAAAACAGAAATGTTTATAAAATAATATAATTTGGTCCTACACTTAAAAAAAACAAATGAACATTGAGGCATTCAATTTAAAACAATTATGCTTGAAACGGAGTGGAAAATTAATGAAGCACACTTACCATGTTAATGATTTATTTTCATAAAATACAGCCACGGCAATTTTTAAAATGGCTTACTTATGATTTGCTTAAATTACCAAAGCTGAATGGTTATAACATTTCTGGTAAAAAAATACAATTCTGGTTAATAAAACCGAAATATATGATATTTAAACCATTCATTTCGTAATTTTTCTTTTTCTATGTTAACAGTTTGACAGATATTCAAAATCTCAATGTGATAGTTATTATTACTAAACATTTAGTAAAAAATATAAAATTAAAGAGTAAATTTAATAATAGTAAATGCATACATGGTTTTTATGTCATGCTCTAAGGCATTATGACAAAATTACCACATTTACCAAATTTTATCATTTATTTTAAAGCCATATTATTATTGATTTCGCGAAAATCATTAAAAAACATTTTTGTAAAAATTGCAGAGCTTTTTGGTGTTCCGATAGAACCAGAAACACGGTAAATTTTACCATTCTTTGGCAATTTTGGCCATGCTTTTCCTTTCATTGTAAAAAGGGACATATGTCGGTCAATGTAAAGGTAATAATTTAATCGTTGTACCATAGTGAGAAAAATCCTCTTACAATATTCAATTGTTTAATTTTTATCAAAAAGTAATTTTAAAACTGTGTATTAGATAAGCTGTAGTATGTATTACATATAACGCAATTTTCACAACTAGATAAGTTAAAATAATTTAATTGACTGTTGGTTTATTAATTGCAGTTAAATAAGTATCAAAGAAGACTTGGACGTAGTTTTATCTGACATATTAAAAACGGTTTTACGCAGACATTTTTTAAAAATACCAATTTCTATGCATCTGCATTTACTTAAAAGGTTGATTGGTTAAAAATTTAATTTGAAATTTTATTTCAGTGATTAAAATGAAGTCAAGGGACAGCAAATGTTTTCATTCTCTGACATCATCAATAGTGTATTAAGATCTGCGTAGCTTTAGAAAATTTTCTTCGTTTTTAAAAGTTTTCTAAAAAGGTATTCTTTGAAAACTCACCGTACACTGTTAAAAATTCCGAGCCACGTTGCGCCAATAATTGGTATTCATTAGCTGGCTACTCAAAATGGAGCTTAATTTTAGCATATTTTGGTATGTTCACTAGCTCCAAATATTGGTAGAAGGTTGCACTAAAAGTAGGTGTATTAAAGAAGTAAAACACCTTTTTTCATTCTTTCTTTTATAAACGCAGAGGAAGGTTCCACCATTCTTAGGTATTCTCAAAGCGCCTAAATGTAGGCACAGTTGCTATTTACCCTAACAAAACTGTTAACCAGAAGTAGGCTGTTTTAAGACATACCTCTAACTATTTTCTACCTCCAACCAAATTTAAAAAGGCAACATAAAAGAAATGAACTTTAGAATTAATGCAAATAAAACATTTATCTAACTAAATAAGTTGGTACTTGAAACAACATGCATGAGTCGTGCCGATACACCGAGACCAAGTTGTAAAGAAATCATGGCGCCGTAAACAAATATTGTTCAGTTTACTGTCACCGCCAAAGTTTTGTGTCTTTTACCAAATTTTGGTGCAGTAAGTTGCACCGTGGAAGTATTTCTCGATCATACTTTAAAATTTATGGTGTAACTGAAATAAAATGATCTTTCATTTAACTAAACTTTAGAATAATGAGAAACTTTGCACCAAATACTGGAGAAAGATATACTGAGTTTTTTTTACAGTGTATGGAGAACCTATAATTATTTCAAGCAGACAGTTATAAATAAACTAATGTAATTTTCACCTTTAAGACTTAGTTACCCAGAATACTATAGTATAAAAGGCTGATTCATTTTCGTTTTTATGTGCACAGGCATCAGCAATCAAGTTCTATCTTCTTTTTATGCATACTTTTTGTAGCCACTTAAACTAAGAAAAAGGTCACGCTCAAAACATTTTGTCTACAGTTTGATGAGGTAGAAAACAAGATCGGAACAATAGATAATACAGCAATTTCCTTTTTTTATGCAGACTTTATTAGTTCATTGAAATGCGCAAATTATATTCACATGCGTAAGTGGCCGTTTTTTTATTACTCTAATCACGGTTTACGGTTTTTTTCGGGTTTTATAAAAACAAAAGCTTTTTTTCAGTAGCGCGCAATCTAAACATTCGTAATTATCAAAAATATTCTGCAAAATTATGAAAGCTATGGTAAGACAATATTTATCCTAATCTTAATGAATAAGTTTTAATATGTTACATTTTAGCTTAAGTTAAATAATTTCTAATAGTCACTTTTATGTTTTAAGACATTTTTATGTAAGGGTTGCAAATTAATTTGCATATGAATGCATATGAAACAACGGCATACATTAAGTGTATGAAACAATATCCATGTTAAAACGCTTCTTAAATTAATTATCTATACAATATATTGAATTACCAAAGCTAATAATTTATTAATTTATTAAAAAATCGTTTAATGACTAGTCGCAGCTTATTAATTATCCAACGAATGAATCATTAAATTTCAGTTACTAAACCGTATATTAATATTTACTTTCATTATAAATTACAAAAATTAATAATTCATTTACATAATTATTTTATGCTTATAACATTAAGATTTATTTACCTTAAAATTTTTCGAATGTTTTCTGTGATTCTTAGAAATATTTATAACATTTAGAACTAATCTGGCGTTACACTATTTTTAAATAATTAACTTTGAATAATGTTTTATATTGAGAGAATATTTAAATAATTGAAAAGTATGAAGATTTCAGATAGATAAAAAAATAAGATTTTACCCTGAATAACTATTAGAATGATCAAGAATCACTTTCTAGAAAATGATTTTAATAACCTCAATTAACGTAATTATGATAATTAATTATGAAATTATGAAATTATGTACGTAATTATGAAATCAGACTAAAAATCTTTTTTCTCTGAATAAACATACCTTTCACCAGATTTCGCTTTTACTCTCAAAGTAGTAAATAGATGGTAGTCCAAATAGTTTAGACAGAATAACGGTCGAAATTTTATATACCTTAATATTTATTTCCCTATATCTCAAGAACATTTTACGAAAAAAATATTTTTTTTGCACCTATTTACAAAATTCATTTGTCTAAAGATGCAAAATAATTCTTAATGATTATTTAGAATTTTCTTATTTTATTTAATAATGGGCAAAAATTATTAAAGTGCAATGTATACAAAATTTGACATTTTAAAAGGCAAGATACAAAATTTGAATCTAAACGGTCAAATAGTTTCTTCATTATAATTTTTTAAACCGAGATGTAATTTTATATCTATACTTCATTATAACTATTTTGTCATTTTAAATTTCATAGTTGAACATGACGTAAAAATCTGTCTAACCCTCAATTTGAAAAAAAAAAGTTTTAATATTCACAAAATAAAATACTAAAAATTGTATTGAAACTTTTATTATTTATTTATTTTTATTTATTTACATTTTTTAAAACTAGTTTCATAATTCTGTGCAAAATATTTTTTGATTTACTTTGTATTACGAATTTCTGCTTCACCAGCAAAAGGCGATGTGAACAAAAATTATAATAATCTTAAAAATTTTAATGATGAATATGTTAAATCTATTTGCAAATTTGAAAAATTATCGTTTGGAAGTGAGCCGTGTTAGAAAGATTTCATCTTTAACGCAGAAAAAGACACCAGTGCTTCATGCTGTATTTCATAACCAGAAATTATTAATGTGCTAAATATAATATTTTTTACTCAACTTGACTTGTACTAATACAAAATAATGGAAAAAAGAACGAAAATATATTTAATTAATAGTCTGCGTTAAAAATCTATTGAAAATTTATTCTGTTATTTTTTAAAGAAAAAAGATTTTCCAAATTAATTGTCAAGTAAAAAAAAGTTGCATTATAAACATCTTAGATTTGCAGGTTGTTATAAACTCTATCAATTTTACAAACATCCCTTGTTTTGATTTTCTTAAGAGGATGATTATTTTATTGTGTTTGAAATGTGAAGAAAATGAAATAAAAGATGGTTAACATATCTAAATTTTTCAGATTTATTTATTTTCCAGCGTCATTTTCATCTTTAGTACAGTTCTTATATCTGACGTGGCTGCCAATTATTTAAGTAATGTGAATTATGCATGATGCATGTAATAGGGAAGGGTACAGTTAGAAAAAAATTAATATTTAAATAATGGTGTATGCAACAGTAGTTGAAATTTAAAATAGTGCATTTGCACTTTGGTATTTTATGAAATTTTTAGACTTTCAAAAACATAGATATAATTTAACAAAGAAAAAACTGATGCTAACTTAAAATGATATTCCACTAAGTTAGCTGTTTTTTACTTACGGATTTTTGAAAAATCTCTTATTTTCACTTATGTAAGTTTGATTTTTTTTTCATGGGAGCATGAGTATTTCATCAGAACTGACGCATGCGCGCTAGAAGAGCGCATGCTCATTTTTCTCGAAACCCTGCTGGAATAAGCTGACGTAAATTTTCGAAATCTTTTAATTTAATCGAATGAGAACTTAATGTGTGATACAGTGCCGACTGCAACTTGGGAAAATTGCATGGATAATTGAGTTAACTATTGCTCTAACGAATTGTAGTAGCATGGGGTTGCATGCGGGTTTTAACTTCTTTAAGACATATATTAAAGTTGTGTTGCACGTTTTGCTTCCAATTATATTCCAATTTTTCAATGCATGCTCGTAGTATAGAACAAAATTAGGAAGAAAAAAAATAGTTCTCTATTTTGAAAGTCTACATAACATTTTTTTAAACCCAGATATTTGTTTGTTTTCTATGTGTGATATGGTATATTATTCAACTGAATTTTTCAATTATGTAAATGAGTATATGTAAATAAATTATGTTAATGTATTATGCAAATAAGTTATGAGTATTCTTGGGAAAGAAAGGCATATTTAATTCCCGACATAGTGTAAATGCCATTTTTCAGGTTGAGGATTTATCAATTTTAAAATAATTTTCAGTCTAGTCATTTATCAAAGCCACTACCACATTTGTGGCCTATTTAAACATTGCTGAATGTAATACCTAGATTGCTCATAGAAAAAGTTTTTCACTTAATCAATGAGTAATTGGGCATTTTAATACGATTATAAAATGAAGAAATTTAAAAAAACAAAAAATATCTTAAGTCAAGCACTTAGTTGAAGTAAAAAATGTTAAAACCACTCCATACGTTAGTCATATATAGAATATATATTTCTCTTACACGGTGACAAAAAAAGCCCTCATTACAACTCCCTGAATGGCAACGCTAGAAAATCGACCAATGATTGCCGCAAAAAATGTTACATGTCAAATCTAGCTGGGATGGCTCAACATATAGCGCTTTTAAAAACGGAAACTGAAATAATCAGAGAGAGAGCATAAGCTAGGTAGATGAGAGTAGTCTTTGTCGACAGATCTCTATTTTAGTATTTTGTCGAAAGCGCTTTTTTTCACGAATTTATATATTACGAATTTATTTGACGATTTTTGATTTATATCACGAATTATACTATNGCCAAATCTAGCTGAGGTGGCTCAACATATAGCGCTTTTAAAAACGGAAACTGAAATAACCAGATAGAGCATTCTCACCAAATACTATTAAGCTAGGCAGAAGTGAGTAGTCTTTGTCGATAGATCTCTATTTCAGTATTTTGTCGAAAGCGCTTTTTTTTCACGAATTTATATATTATGAATGTATTTGACGATTTTTGATTTATATCACGAATTTATTTGTTTTACTAGAATTTATTTGTTTATGCAAGTTTTCCCATTGCAGTTCACTTATTTCAATTTTTAATAGACTTAATTATAGCCAAAATTTTAACCTTTTTAAAGAGATATCATGACAATTCTTTTTTTCTTAAGATTTTATACTATAGCACATTTCTAATAGGTTTAACGAATTACATGTCATTTATTTGAATTCAAATTTATTTTAATGACTTAGTATTTACTAAAAAGATGTAATTTTTTTTTTAAAGTTGTTATATGGATTTGAATGATTGTTTTGAATTCTTAGAATTTTGTGCATTTGCAATGTACCTAAGTTAGTAGCGAGTGAAGCGAGCTTGGTTTGCGAAGCAAACCATGTAAGATTGCGTAGCAATTTTCGGGGGTTGGCGAGCGTTAGGAAGCAGGAGGGAGAAGAACACTAGTTTAGATAAAAACTTAATATACCTACAGGGTGCTCTCCACCCTAATAGCTGTCAGGATGTTTCCCCACTCCACAAATTTAAACAAATATTCCAGTTTCAAAATAAATAAATATAGAAATACATGTGCAATGTAATTTTTTTTAGAAAAATAATTTTTACAACGCTTATCGTTATTTCTGTCTGAACACATTGCAAAGCTATCAATTACGCTGCTTGACGATTGCTAAAGAACAACTGATTTATGCAAAGTACAGTTCTTAACATCTGTACAACAATTTTTTCTTGTTTCCACTTATAATATGACTTAACTTGCGCCAGCATTAGTTCTCGAAGTGCACACAGCTGAATTAATCAGTGGTGGTTCAATCTATTTAATCAGTGAAATAATTAGTGGTGAATTAAATTAACCAAAACAATATTTTTCCCACCCACAGATAAATTGATAACACTTTTACATCATTCTCTTGACCCTGATTGTACAAACTGTAAAAAATTCTGAATAAAATTACGGTAAAAATTACCGATACTGAAGGTCAGGTGCTTTTTAATGTAAAATCTATTTTGACGGGAACATATAATGGGACAAAAAATCTCATATACCGTAATTTTTACAGTAACGTAATTTTTACGGTAACGAAATAATTACCGTAATATCACTAAATCACTCTAATTAAAGATAAAAACGATGCATCATTATTAAAGTAAAAATTGTGGTATAATTTTTACGGATAATGCACAAAATGTACGGGCACCTTACCGTAATTTGATCTGGAACAATTACAATTATATAGATTTGAAACAATTATCTAGATATGAGTATCACTTTTTTCTTAAATTGAGTTTACAAATGGTATATGGTTTGTTTGAGAACTGTAAGCATATTAGAAATCGTGCATAGGTATTTTTTATAAACAGGCATTTAAATGAAATAAAAAATGGAACCCACATTGTTATTATAACAGCCTTCTTCGAAACTTAGCACGTATTCTTAGGGACGTTGTTTCTGTGGGTTACCACTAAATTAAAGCACTGGTTGTGCTTTGCCTAATTTTTTACTGTGCGATATGACAAAGTTGTATGCATTGAAAATTAATATAAAAATTTCTGGAAGACTAGGTTGGCCAAAAGAAGATATAAAAAATCCCCCCCACCCCAATTTTTTTTAAATATCCTGTCATCTTCCAACTATGGCAGTAGTACATAATGTGCTTTTCTAATCTGTTATTTTGCAATTGTGAGTTTAAGGATTGATTATTGAATTCCCAAAAGGAAGTATCAAGAATTAAAGTAAAATAAAAGGACACCAAATTAAGATAAAATAAGTTCATCAGAAATATGATTTGAAAACTAGGTTTTTTTTCAATTTTAGACGAATAGTGAATGAATCATTTATATTGCGCGGAAGACAGTTTACAGTCTTGTGCCAGTTATTGGGTACGTTGACAATGGATCCATTTGTCCCTAACTGATGATCAACACCCAATCTTCGTATTTGCATGAAAGGGGTTCGGAGAGTCACCATTTGCTGTTCGGTAGGATTCAATTCTCTCAATCACTTTAGTACTTTTGTGAGAGACGGGCCTTAGGCTTGCATTTGCAATGAATTCCTTCGTTTTTCCGTTTGTGTGTAACGCTTAAGATATTCCCGTCTACGTTCTTTGGCTTTTTCAGGCTCGGGAAGTTTAGGCCTTGGCATCGTGTTTTTCTTGTTTCAACCCTAACCTTTGGAACCGTGTCAATTACTTTGTGATATTCACCCTGAATTAGCATTGAAAACGATCCAGTTTGAAATGTACGTTAGAATTTCTGATTCTTAATTAAAACAATAAAAACAAAAATATCGTTCAAATGATGAAATTCTCTTTTATTCACTACTCAGGAAATATTTATGGTATCTCTCTGGTTCTATATCTCAAAAATCAGTAATGCATGACAAAATTAAAAGTGAAGAAAAAGAATTCTAAAAAAATTATCTAACAGCAGCGGTCGCCATAGCAACGCATGCGCATTGTTTGCTATTATTTTTGATTATTGTAGTTGAAAAGGGAGGACACCATGAAATTCAAACCAAGACTCATTTTGCCAATGGGTCATAAAATAAAATAAAATATATAGATTCTGTCCAAATAAGGCACTAGTAGTTAAAGTGCATTTCTTATTTATATATTTCATTTTACGCTTTAGAGGTTGTTGATTTGAGGATTATTAAATTTGGCTAAAACAACATGCCCCCAAAATATTTTGAAATATAAATAAAATAAAAAAAAATCCTACTTAAAATTAAAAGTGTGCCCCTTCCCCCCAAAAAAGGGACTTGCTTCATAAATACCCCGGTCACTCCTGAATTCCCGTTTCCTACATTTTCAAAATTACCTAATTTATATTCATTTTGCTAAAAATTAGACATGAATGGTATATCCAGTTGAAATATAACTTTCAAAAACCATGTTCCAGGTTGTTTTCTTTGTTATCTTGGTAGTAATTGCTGTTGTGGAAAGCTCCCCTTACCCTCAGGAAATTCCTGCTGTTCCTGGTTCGGATAGCATTCCCGGAGCTGATAAAATTCCCAAGGCAGATGAACTAACCAAAGTGCCAGACGCGGATACACTACCAGGAAAAGATACCATGGATAAGATTCCAGGAAAAGATAAAATTCCGAGTGCAGATGATATGCCAGGAAAAGACATGGCTGACAAAGCAAGAGCATCAGCTGAAGCAACTGCTGCAGTTGCAATTGCTTTAATCCCAAAAGTCTGATTAACAGTTTCCCTCTTTTCTCTAAAAAAGAAAATAAAAATGAAGTGTTATTATATCAATGTATGTGTGGTTTGTGGCTAAATAAAATATCAATGTTACGCTATAAACTATCTTAGTTCTATCTTAAAAGCCATAATCAGTTCATTTCTAACACAGTTGCTAGATTTATTAATCAGTTACATGCAGAAATTCTATAAAAAATTTGAATACGCGTTGTGTTATGTTAAGACTGCCTCATACATGTGTGCTAAGGACTATTATCGAAAGTTCAGATAAAAAAGCATACATATGGTTAATTGCAAATAAATACTGAAATGAGGAATAAACAAAAACCTTTTTGAAATTTGAATAATTCCAGTGGAGGAAGGGGCATGCAATAAACATCAAAAGTGGTTTGATTGGAGGTTGAAACCTGAAGGTTACTTTCTGTACTCTTTGTTCGCTATACTTGTCTTCTCGCGGAATCAAAGAAGTCTAGTTGTTTACTACATTCTCCTTCCTATATGGTGCTTAATTAGATATTCATAGAATTTTTGCTTTTTCCTCGGTTAAATACTAATTTCTTACCCCCAATTGCTGTTAGTAACGAACCAAGCAACAGATCGAAATTGAGAACGCATGTGAGTGAAAAGGTAGTAATTTTTAATAATGATGCCTGCTGAAATGTTACAACTAGACTTCCCAGCCAAAGCTTGTTGCGTTTTTTATTTCGTTTTTAGTATGGTGTTGCAGTTTTCCATTGTTGTCCATGAATTTTTTTTGGTCGGAAAATCACGTGATAGGATCTAGTTTTTCCTCATTCATTCCCATATTCTTTCGGTTGTCATCAGCGTAAAATTAATAAAAATCGTAAAGGTATTGTTTTGCTATAAATATTTTTGTATCCCTAATTAAAAGTTATTTTCCTGTACTGCTATTATTCCGCTTTTAATTCATGACTTTAAAAATAAGAGAATTGTTGCTTTCTTTATTATTATTATTATAATGTAGTTCTGGACTATATTTTAAGATAAATTTACTTAGAAAGGTGGTCTAATCTTATTAAGCGTTTTACATTTATTAATAAATAACGTTAAGACAGTTAAAGAGAATAATACAGAGAATAATAAATACAGTTAAAGAGATTTGTTAAATGATTTCTACCTAAACGGTCACATTCATGCACAATGAGATACAAGCAAATATAGTATTTAATATATTCACCCGTTTGGTAAGCGAAATATTAAATTACAGTTGCGAAATCATAAAATTTAATGTTATAGCAAAATAAATGTTATTTTAAGAAATATGATTACTTAGAAAAATTACTTCTATTCACCAATAAACCTAAATAATTATAATACTAAAAGATTTTAATATTTGGAGACCTTCCAACTATGGCAGTA